CACGCACTCTCGTAAATACTTGCGTGTGTTTGTATGCATATGTAATGCTACTTAAGTGCCGGCTGCCAACAGCCTCGACTCATTTTGTTTATTAATTTAAAAATGCAACAGCCAGCAAAAGCCATTGGCAACATATGCGAACGAACAGCAACAACGTGAATAAGCAGATCAAGAAGAGGAGCAACAAATACAACAACAACAACAACAACAACAACAACAGCAAGAACAAGAACAACGGCCACAGCAGCAACAACTGTTGGCAACATTTGCTGTTCAAAAGAATTAGTTGAGTTCTAGGCTTAGCTGGCGGTTTGTGTCTTCGCTAAGTTATTTTAAGGGCATTTACTTTGGATTTGATTAATGTGTTAGTTAAGCGACTTATATTTGCTCTAACCCGCACGCTTGGCTCTTATAATTCACACTTAACTTTATAAGTAAGCTGTGTTCCTTCAAGAGTCTTATACTAGAGTTTTATTGTTGTATAGCTGATATTTTGAGTTTAAATTAAAGCGAAAGAGAGGATAATAATTGTGTGCAAATACATCTTACATACATGTATGTAAATATGTATAAGATAGAATGCAATTAAGAGTAAACAAGAAACAAATTTAAGTTGGAGCTAGAGCAGGATCAAGTATAAGAGTTACAATTAGAGTAAGAATATCTTAAAGCGGACCATATGTAGTACTATATTATTTATTAATGCATATTCTATGTACGTATATGCATACATACATACATATGTATATGAATAGAATGAAATCTATTGAAAGCCATGTACATCATAGAAAATAAAAATACATATATAATATAATTTGTATATTCCTTCAAAAAATCATTTGTTTTTAATTATATGCTGAACCTATTGCACAAGTTTTTGTTCTATGTACATATGTATGTACGTACTATGTATATACATACATACATAGTAATACAATTAATGTATTATAAATATTATAAATGAGAGGTTTTTATTTTCAACTAAGTTTGAAATATGACTGATTTCCTCTATTCTTTTTGAACAAAATTAATTTTATTACTATTAATAAGTAGTTAATAATATTAGAAAATATACATGCAGATGTACATATGTATGTATGTTTGTATGTAAAATAACATATGTACATATATTTACATATGTATGTACATTTACATATTTCTGTATAAATTTTTATAAAATTAAGATTTCCTAGGTACAAATTTTAACTTATTCAAGTAAAAGCAAAAATGGGCAGTTGTCAAGCCCCAAAGGCCAAATTCCAATCAGTACGCACATACATACGCACGTACGTATACACAAATACATTAATATGTAAACATACAAACATACATTTAAATTTACATATATGCATACATATGTACATACATGTTTACATACATACATTTACATCTGCGTTATGTATGTACATCTCTGTGTTCGTCATGTCCCTCTATCGTGTTATTCGAATACGCCGTTACGAATCGTCAGGCACATGGCCAATTTCGAAACTGCGACGTTTCTGCGTTCGCTTTTTGGGTTCTTAACGATATGCGACAATTTCTGACCCCAAGAGACCAAAATGCGAGCACAGCGCGAGCAAAAGAGAAGGCAAGAGGCACGAGAGCATGAGAAGCGACGAAGCCGAAGGCAACGCTCGAAAACGAAACTGAAAACCAAGCGCGATCGAACGAACGGTTGAGTTTGTGGAAGAGAGCGGGGTGGGGGAGAAGGAGAGGGAGAGTGTAAGAGCGGGAGAGAGGCGTCGCACACACAGCTGCACGCATTACGCCACAAATTTATTTGGATTGGGGTTGGGTCAAAATTTAAATATTTCAGCGCCAACAACAAAAACAACGTCAACTGATTTTTCGCGTTTCGGGCTCGTTTTACTTGATTGCTCGAACGAACGAAGAAACGAACAAACGGTTCTTCTTCGATCGATCGATCGAACGCTGCCCCAATCTATGATTTTGCCTGCATATTTGTTGCCTGTTCTGTTGCTTCTTCTTCTTCCGCTGTTGCTTCATCAGAAATAAATAAAAATGTTGGTTGGAAATTGTTTTCAACTTGGTCTTGAATTGTCACCCCCTCCCCCACATTACACCTCTCGCTCGAACACTCTTGACAAACACATTCCCCATTTATAAATTTTTATTGCCTGATTGAGTTGACTTGGGTTGGGCTTGGCTTCAATGAGGGTTCGTTTTTTGGGCTTATCGAGTCGATAGAACTGGGCAAAAACGGCAACAGTTACGATCGTTATGAACGGGCTCCCCTTCCACACTGTCTAACTGCTTGGGCGCCCCTCCCCGCTGCCCCTTTACCCGTCCACGACCTGCTGACTGTTCGTCTTGCGCTCGACTCGATTTCTGACCTGTGTCAATATTTATTGGCTTTATTTACAGCCAGAGCCGCTTTTGGTATTTGCATTGAATTCGTGATTAATTTGCCTGATAAGCAGCAAGCCGAACGAGAGCCATGGGGATAGGTCTGGTATTTCCGACATTACCTAATTGAACATTTAAAAGAAATCATTATCTAATGCAATTAATTCATTTTTCATTTATTCATTTTGATCGCTTCCAGGAAGAGTTAATTCTCACATTTTTGTCACTCCATCCAAAAAAATAGATGAGATTTTTACACGAAATTATTCCTTCCAATCATTGATTTCAATCTTTCTTTTGTTAGCTACATCCATCATTCTCTGACTCATTCCTGCTTTCGTAACATAGCTAATCTACATGCTCTTCATTTCCATACCAAATTCATTATTCTAACTGTTGCCTCCCCTCCCATGCTCAACCCTGTACACCTATCTCTTACACACATTCGTATAGTAAGCGCATGGAGAACTTTAACAAACCGTTTTATTGCCGCTCAATTAACGGCGCAAAGAGCACAAATACCAAAGAAATAATAATAAAATATAAGAGTCAAAATAATAATAAAAAAAAAAAAGCTCATCTCGCACATTCGAAAATTTAATCAGCAGTAGAGAACAAATTCCGCTTGCATGACTTTTAATTTGGCTTGAAAGCAAATGCAGGAGAGAAGAGGAAAGAGCAAGCATGCAAAGGCTGCAACGGAAACGCCGAGCGCTCCCCCTTACTGACATGCGTGTAAGTGAGAGGGAAAGCTTTGGGCTTACGGCTTTCTCTCTCTGTTCTCTTCTTTTATTTTTGCCAGAATTGATCATCGCAACATTTGTGCGGGCACGTTGTTGTTGCTGCTGCTGCCCCTTGTGCCCTATGTATGTGTGTGGGGCAAGCCGAGGGCCAGAATATATACAGAATACATTAATTGACACTTGGCCGGAAATAGTTCATTAGGCATAAATTACATACAGACAAAAGCCACTCTCTTCTCTCCCTCCCACACTCAATAGATTATTCTGTTTTTTTTTTTGCTAGATTTCAGCGGCTTAAATGACTGCACGGGAATTCTGTCGTTATCGCCGTTTCCAATGGGCAGCGTACAAAACGTTGCAAGACACAAATGTTGGGCATTAACATTAAACAAGACTCGAGATATACTGACACACACACACTCACACAAAAACACACAGAGCCACATACACATGCATACGCATGCGTATACAGTAAATCTGCCTCTCTTTTGGTCTTTATCTATGCTCGCTCACTCGTCCTTTCTCTGTCGCACTATCGTCGTTTTGGTTAGACTCAACATGTGTGCTCCAAATGTTTTTTGTAAGTTTTTACAAGAGCCTGGAAGAGACTGCGAGACTGCGCGACAGCGGCTGCAAAACAAGGCAACAAAGCGCAGACGTAAAGTAAAGCAGAAGCAGAATGTAAAACACACAAAACAAAAACACAAAGTGGGCATATTAATAAATTCAACTAAAACGCAATTGAACGCGACCTCAGACATACAGGCACAGACGCAGACGCCAACGTTGTCGCCGTCGCCGTGGCCGTCGCCGTCACCACCAGCGAACCAAACTAAAGAGAACCATCATTAAGCGGGCTCAAATCGGCCGCGCTCCCCAACAGTTCCCTCCTCCTACACTCACTCACACACACATGCGCATAATGTTTTACTCATTCCCCTTCTTAGAAACTGCAGACAGTTGAAAGCCGTGCAGCAACGAAATGGAAAATGGAATAAGTGCAACAATTGTAGTGGAGGGAGCGGAAAAGTGGGAGAGAGGAGCAGCGGATCGAGCTATGTACAAAGTAGCCGATTAATGAATGCAGCCTGAAAAGGGAGGCATGAGTATACAAGCTAAATGCCCTACACCCAATAATATTTAACTAAAATTCATTTGCATACTTGCATATATGTATCAAATCTAATTAGCTAAAAGTCATATACTCACCTACTATTAATAACATATGATGTCTTACACATTTATGGAATATACATATGTGTATATACATACATTCATATGTACATATGTTCTGTATAGTTTAATACAATATATTTATTTATTTATTTATATAAAACCACAAGTTGCAAAGCATTCCTAAAAACCTTGACTATTAATTCCACAATGCCTCATCGCTTAAGTGTAGGGCATAGCATATAGAACAGTTTACCCATCTCCAACAATAACAGCGCAAAGTAGAATCGACGGCAGCTACTGAAAAACGTCAGCGATGCAAACGCGTCAACGGATTTTTGTGTTACACATAATTTGAATGCTTGATTTGTTTGAGTGTGTGCGTGTATGAATGTGTGAGTGACGTTGTCGTCTCCGTCGCTCTTCTTTTTTTGCGCTCATTCTTTTGCTCGCTTTTACTTTCTGTTGTTGCAATTAAACGGCGTTTTTCCGTCTGAACGCCAGTAAGACGAAAGAGAGAGAGCGAGAGCCGACGCGAGCCGAGCTCAGCCAACGGCCTGGACAGCTCTTTGAGCGCATCGTACGCGGCGGCGACGCCGGCGCAGGCGTCGATAACGGTAATGCCGCCGCGCACACACGTTGTGTATTGGCCCAGGCAGCGACGCCGAGCACAATTGTCCGAGAGAGAAAGACAGAGAGAGCGAGAGGTAGAGTGCGCGCATGTTGAGCGCGCGTGATTTTGTGGCTCTTTCGCCTGCGCCTGGGTCTTTATTTGTGGCTCGCGTATGTGTGATTGTGTGCGTGTGTGTGAGTCGTGTTTGTGTTTTTATACCCTTGCGCTGAGCATTCGAATTCTATGACGAAGTTTAACAATTGCTCCGGCCTCACTCAAACGCCGTTTGCATGGCAAAATCGCTCAGAGTATTTAGAGTGCTACATGCGAATGTGTGCGCTTCTTGTATGTTTTGGCTTCGCATCGAGAAATGCGGGCTGGCTGCTAGCAGCGCTGCAGACGTCGTTGCCGTCGACGTTGTCGTTGTCGTTGTTGTCGCGGCCGTCACAGCTCGCGGTGGTTGTTATTTTTTTGGTTTTGGTTTTTAGTTGCTGTTTAAACTTGGTCGTGAGAGGGTAGCAGCCCCCGTCGTCATCCATTGCCACCCAAACGATCGCGCGCTGGCAAAAAGCAACACAGTAAAGTGAATGTGATAAGTGAACTTTGGGTCAAGTGAATAAAGTGAATCTGGCTGGCGCGCTGGCCAACAACAACAAATACAACATTAATCTACACATATTGCAACAAATTCTAATGGCGCCCGCTGCCGTTGTTGCCTCGTCGGGCTCCTCACCCACCACAACGAATTCGCTGCAGGACATGAGCGCAGCCGCCGCGGCCATAGCGCTGGACATGAAGCCCAAAGTCGAATTGGCCGTGGTGCCCGCTCAAAAGATTAAGAAATGTGCGTACAAATCCAATGAGACTCTGAGCTGATACCCTCTCTACAACAACAACTACTGCTACTACAATGAAACTGTTTACTTCCATTGTCTTTCCAGTGGTGCGCCGTAATGCCTCCGACAAGCTAAAGCTCATCAAAATGGTCCACGACAATCCCATTTTGTGGGACTCGCGTCTGCCCAATTTCAAGGGCGCCGAGGAGGAGAAGAATCGCGCCTGGGAGCACATTGGCCGGGAATTCAATGCGCCCGGAAGACGCGTTGCACGCGCCTTCAAATCCCTGCGCGAATCGTATCGCCGCGAATTGGCCCACGTGAAGTTGATGGGCAACGGATTCAAGCCAAAATGGAGCCTGTACGAGGCCATGGACTTCCTCAGAGATGTTATCAGAGAAAGAAAGTGAGTACGAATTGCAAGCGAACAACACAATCAAAACAAAAACGCGAACAACCCTTAACAAATATGAATAGCAAAAATTAGGCTGGACCTAACACACACATTTTGCATGCACTTGTTGAAGTACATATGAATATATGTAAATTAAATTATGAAATTAATTTGAATATTATAAAAAAAAAATAATAATAATATTGAATATTCCCTAATTAGTTAAGAATTATATACATATTTTTTTAGGTTCAGTCTAATATAATTAGGCTTGCCTCGTTCATATATATTTATTTGTTGAATACATAATTATTATGTTAATTATTGAAAAGTTATATACTAAAGCAAATAGCATTTATTATTTTATTATGTAATATGCATTGATTATTACTTTTTAGGCCCAGCCTAATATAATTTAGCTTGCACTTTTAAGGCTCAGCCTAATGGAATTTAGCTTTGTGCATATTAATAACCTAGAAACTGCTGGAAAACCTTGCTCGCAATATATTATTATGATCGGGCTGGGCTTATCGTAGTGGGCTCGGTTTACACCCACCTGAATTTGGTCACTTTCCATTTCCAATCATTGAATCCAATCGTGCCTTCCATTGTCTCTGCCCTTTGACTAATATTACAACTGAAGTCGGCAGCGATAAGCGATTGTTGTTGTGTTCACGCATTGCAGGCAGACTCAGACAGCAACAGCAGCAGGCGTAAGTAAGTGTGTGTGCGTGTGCGTGTGTGTGTGTGAGCTGTGGTGTGGGGCAAAGACCAGCCTCAGAGTATGAATAACGGTTCATACTTTTGGTTTTGCTAGCAATTTTATATGAAATGAATTGAAACCTCAACTTTAGATTAGCCACTGTCAGTGCATATGGGCTTGATTCACTGAGACTTGACTTGGACTACGGCCAAGCACACAGACACATGCATACACATGCATACATATTGCTGTCTTTTGCATTGCTGTTTACATTCGCCGCGCTGCTGCAGTGCAAAGAGCAAAAACTTCGATTCTAGCCAAAAGTCAGAAGCCAGATGAACGTTTCCTTTGCCACGTTTCACTGGATGACTCAATCGATCTTGTTTTGAAATTGAAATGATGGCGCATATAATATTCTTATTGTAGACGAACTCTATATACATACATACATACATATGTACATATATACATATATGGTATTTATTTGTTGTTCAGTGAAGTGAAACATGGCATAAGGCGATTCAGTTTGTGGGTTTAGCGGGGCGGCGAGCTCTTCATGGTGTTCATTCTTGGAAAGCTGACTTACACTGGATTAGTGGGCCAGTTGAATATAACGTTTAGTTAGCAAATGAAATGAATATTGAATTCTGATTCAGTTAAATATGTATTTTTAAAATACTATGTATGTACGTAATGAATTACTTCATTCTCCCAGCAGCTGGAATATTGGAAAGCTAAGCTTTAAGCTGGCAAACTGGAAACTTTGCGCACTGTCATATTGTCAATTCTTATCAGAATTTTCGAAATACACTTTCACTCTTATATTTATACGATGAGTCATAGTATAAGAACTGCTTGAACAAGCGATTCAATTATGAACAGATTTTGTTACATGTTTTTGGTATATTTTCTAGGTTTTATTGTAATTATATTCTCTAAATAAAATACTAAAGAAAGGATTTATTGTGATTTAAATATTCTAAAAAAAAAAAAACAAAAAATTAGGAAAAAATAAATTTGATATATTTATTTACATAATATTATGATCCTTACTTAAATCAAATATATTATTCTATATATGAATATATGTACATAGAATATATTCTATATTAGATATTATTAAATAATGTAATATATCATTGTTAAACATTTTATTTTACATTTTTATTTTATTTCACATTTTATTCTTATTATCTTTATCATGAGAGTCCTTTGCCTATCTTATGACGTTTGTAGACCCCCTCATTTGTTTTATCTCTGTTGCCATTTTCATGACACGAGCAAAGAGAGAAGCAGACAAATCTCCGCTAAGCCTCTGTAAAAACATCTGCCCAATGCACACACACACACACACACACACACACATGCACGCACACTTGCATATGCAAATATGCGAATATACGCGTATTTTGCTGCTGCGAAAAAAATCTCGAAAAACGTTGGACGGAAAAAACCAATTCGAACAAAGAAATGACCAGGCTCTGGGCTCTCGGCTCTCGGCTCTGGTCTTCTCTGATTCTGTGGCTCATGTGGAGCAAACAGCCAATTCGCCGTGCCCCTCGCCGCACTACGCTCTATGAGTGGATGTGTGTGTGTGTGAGTGTGTGTGAGTGTGTGGTGTACTTTATGTACATATATTTATATGAAATAAGGCCATTTCCTTTCAATTGACTGTACCCACATCGGCAGCAGCAACCAGAGCTGAGGCAACACAGTCGGCGGCCCCGGGTCCACACATGCCCGCACACACACACACACACACACACGCGGGCACACATAGACTCACACACACATGCATATTTAAATTTTTATTATTTTGAGCTGATAACAGACAACGGAACGGGCCGGGCTCGGTCCCGAGACCGTGGCTTGAGCCATAAAAACAGATCTTGTCCAGAGCGAAAATTATACAACGCTATTGTTGTTGTTGTTGTCGCTATTATTGCTGCTGTTGTTGTTTTTGTTGTTGTTGCTGTCGGCATCGCCACTTGAACCAAAAACAAAATCGAGGGAAGCTGCAAAAACCAACAAAACGCTTTAGCCTTAGCGGCTGCTGCCTCTGCTTCTGCTGCTGCTGGTGGTGGCAGAGCGAACGAGCGAGCGAGCGAGCGAACCAAAACGAACACGAGTGCAGCGCGAGCGGCGCGATGCGAGCGCGAATGAGCGCGCTAGAGAGAGTGATAAATTAACGCAATGAGCGGGCAGCGAATATGAAAATGACAATCAGCAGCAAACGGGGACAAAACGAAGGAAAGAGCGAGCGAACGAACGAACGGCGATGAGCGATTGCGGCGAGTGGACCAAGTTTAGAAAGAAGCGTAGATTAAAAATGTTTTTTTTTTTCCTTTCTTTTTTGCGAGAGTGAGTGAGAGAGGGAGAGAGCGTGATTATATGAGTGATTGCATGTGTGTGTTTGTGTGTGTGTCTGTGTGAGTGTATGAGTGCGTCTTTGGCTGAGCAATTGAGGCGACGCAGCCAAACGGACCAGGGTTAAAAATAAGTACATGAAGCAACCAGCCGCCAACGGGGTTGGTCGCTCGGTCGCCAACGGCCAGATGACCAGGGTCGGCGGCGCTCTCTTTTATGCTCACTCTCTCAGCCCACTCTACCCCCCTCGCTCGCTCGCTCTCTCCCTCTCTCGGTCGAGTCGTGCTCGGTTCTGTGTCACGCTTATGATTTAATAAGCAAATGAGCTGCAAAATTGATGAAATTATTGCCGTGCCAAGCGACCCGCTTACCCCGACCACGCCCCCGTCTACCCAGCAATTTACCACACCCCAACCTCTACGCTCGGGACCGAGCCAAGCCGAGCCGAGTGAGTGAGTGGCTTGACCAACCGCGCCCCATCAGCATTAAAACGAATCTCAGCTGGCATCCAGTGGGAAACTGATCACCCGAAATAAAAAATGCGTCACTTGAAGCCCCACAATATATAAATACTGGGCGTATACCCAATTTGCGCAAGAGAGCCACACGAATGTAACGCAAATGTTATTAAAATATTTACAGCGATTAAGCAATTGCCAGCCAAATATTTATATTTTGCAATCGGTGGACCGATTTATCAGTCCTCAGTATAAATACTAAACAACTGGATAACAAAATGCATATCAAAATTGAGAGATCTATCTGCTTTTTTAGCCTACCTCCATAAATATCCATTATTTGTATACTAACTTACCTAATAAATGTATAATATTATGTAGATATGTATATAATATAATAATATCTCGCTTCTAAATCTTTAGCCGAACTCTCAGCCAATCGATCTTTCTACCCTATTTATCTTTCTATTTATTTATCTATGATACAAATATTTGTATATTTATATTCATGTATATGATATACATGGTATATATCTTAAAGCAGATCCTTGCATGATCAGCTACAAGGATCGCCTTGGTCGTTAACACTAATTTTTATAGTCATGCCGAATAATATAATTTGTACTTAAAATAATTGTAATAATAATCATTTAATAATTTTTTTTTAATCCAAATGTTTTTAAGTAAGAATTTCGCGATTATATGATTCTTGGAAAGACATCATAATATTAACCACAAATAAAAAAGTAGATTTGACTTGACGTCTTGTCATTCGGTTTGGCTTATCAGAGCAGTTCAGTTCAGTTCGGTTCAGCTAGGCTGAGCTGAGCTGAGCTGAGCTCAGCTAAGAGCGGAAACTTGACCATTAGTCAGTCGTTAGCGCTGATAAACCGACGAAATGGGGGAGCACAAAAATTGGAATTCCTCATGGAGAGCAGCTACGCAGTTAAATAGAAATGCAAACTGTCCATCCATTGGGTTTTGGCTGGCTATATATGTGGACGTATGTTTGGGCTGGGTTCTGGGCCCTGGCGGAAGCAAACACTGATAAGGCTTGGGAAATAGACGAAAAATAAACACAAGAGAACCAAATGAAGGAGAACCGCAGAAACCACAAGCAAATAGCAAACAGCAAACGTTTCTTCGGCTCTGTGAGCATGTGAAAATCCATTTGGCCCTGATTATGTGGAAAATGTGAAAAATGTTAAATGGAAAATGAAAAATGGAAAGCTGGAAAATGTGAACGCATATCATTTTACAGTTCCAATTGTCAACTACCTGCCCCGGAGGCCCTAACAGCAAAGGGAGCTCCGTCCTGGCAACTGGGCCCAAGCCTTGGCCCAGCCACAATTTCCCTCTTACCCCGCCCCGCCTTGGCTTGGTCTAAAAATAGCCACGTCTCGCTGCATTCGAGGCATTCAGGCAGCTGTGGAAAATGCGCCTGAAATTTGAGTAGCACAAGAAACCAGCCCCGAAGACTAAAACCAAAACCGGAGCCCGGGCCACAGCCAGAACCAGAAGCAGAACCAGAGTTAATGCCAAAGCAAAAGAAAAAGCAAAAGCCGAATCCAGCGAAAAATATCACGAGTTTTTGGGTAGTTTCGAGTTTTGTTGCTTTCTTTTATATTCATTTTTGGGGGTTTGTTAGAGCACGTTCCAGTGATTGGGATTGTGTCTCTTTGGGGTTGCTTGGCTCCATTGTGGAGTTATTTTTAGAACAGTTTTACATGTAGGGAGAGAGAGAGGGAGCAATGAATATCTAAGACATGTTGTGTAGATCAACGAAACATTGAATAAGTATATGAAATTGTGTTCCTTATGCGGGTATAGTATGTTTCTTAAAGAACAATAGATAAGAGATGTGAATATATAGCGATCTATGATCATATAGAAGAGAGCTTGGTATAATTATGATAGTTATCTTATATAGGATATTGCTCCCTATTTTGAAACCATATATGTATATAGTAGTGAGCCTTGGCATTAGTAATATTTGAAATTATTCTATAGTAGGCGTCTAAATACGTACTATAGAAACATTTGTCATTTGAGATTTTTTTGAACTGTGCTACAAAAAGCACATATGTATATCATTATCGAAAGTTATATATCATTATCGAAAGTATTTATAATCTTGAGCTGCGATTGGACGTAATATGTTTAGACGTCAATTCAAGAAGTATAAGCTGTAAGATTAATAATATAATTTTTTTAAATAATCAAACTATAGTTTGTAGATCGTAGCGAAAGTTTAAGTGTGCAGACTAATTAATATATAATAAATGTATACGTGTACTATAAATCTACTTTTAATATAGATATATACGTCCTATCTATTCATTAGTATATGAATATATTCTTAAGAATAATTATCGCAATATATGCATATCGGCTGATTGATCGAACATGCATATCTATCGTTTATCGATAGTTCAAAACCAATATAATTACATAGATTGGTTGAAAATGAGCTCCATGAGCTCCATCAAGTAGTAGCAATGCCATTAAATCTGTTAAAAACTTCATTTTCTGTCTCTTTCTTTTGCATTTACTACTACATTATAACTCATAGTCTCTCTCTTTCTCTCTCTCTTTGCAGGGGCGCTTCACATACGGGCGATCTCAGTTTGAGCGCATTTGCTCATCATTTACACAATAACAACAACAACAACAACAACAATAACAACAACAATACAAGCAATAGCAACAACAACAACAACAGCAGCAGCAACAACAACAATCACAGCATTTTAAGTGGCAGCAAAGCAGCAGCCGCTGCCGCTGCGGCCGCCTTGAAGCCGCACTCGTCCTTCATGGATGCATCGGAGGCTGCACTGAATCTGTCCAAGTGCTCGGGACTGAACTTGAGCCACGATGATTACTTCTACGACTACAATGTGAAGTCGGAGCTGGATTTGTCGGCTGGCGGCGGTGGCGGCGGCGGCAGCGGCAGCGGCAGCGGCGCTCGTAAAGCGGGCAGCAGCAGCAGCAGCAGCAGCGGCGGCAGCGCCGGCTTGGGCTTGCGCTTGCCCATAGCGCTGCCGCTGCTGCCGATGCCCGCCCACCAGCAGCATGCGCTGGCCACGGCACAGGCCATACACAACGATAGCCGCGTGAGCTCCACACGCAACGACAGCGGCGCCACAGAGGCGAATCATCAGCGGAGCTACGATGATCTCGATGCCAGTTCGATGCGCAGTGGGGATGAGGATGCTGGCAATGCCTCCGATGAGGTGGAGGAACTGGAGGCCATCGATGCCGACTTTCCCTATCCCATCATACTCGACTCGAATTCGCCGGGCAGCGAGAACGGCGGCAGCGGCGACGCTTGCCAGACGCCCGTCAGTGGACGCAAGCGACGTCGCGCTGCCGAACCGGAGGATCTGGACGATGAGGGCGACATGGATGGCGATGATTACGAGGATCAAATGCTGCAGCAGCATCGCCACCTGCGCCAGCAACAGAATGTCGTACCCGGAGAACTGGATATGCCGCCGCCGCAGACGGTGCGCGAGGTGCTCAACTCCAAGTTCTGCGGCTTCATCTCGGCCAAGCTGAACAGCATGGAGGACTCGGAGGCCGACAATCTGATGAATCGCATACTCCTGCTGGTGGTGCAAATGCAACAGTGCGAGACACCCAAATAGTCGAGGAATATGAAGTGGAATTCGGGTTTGGGGCTCGGCTTGGGTTTCGGGTTGGGTTTGGGGTTTTTTTCACTAGTTTCTAAGTAGAGGAAGAGCTCATTATGGATTAATGCAGCTGCTCAAAGCAAAACGTTTTCTTGCCATTTACCAAAATGTTTCACAAATCTGTACTCTCAATATGCCATAAATCATGCCAAAATTGTGCCATGCCAAAAAAAAAAAAACGAAAGAAAATAAGAAAATATAAGAATCAATGGAAGACTTCTTTAAAGCTATATCCCAAAAAGAAAAGAACATAAAGAGAATGAAATATACAAATGTATGAACTCAATGAAAAGACACAACAACAAAGACAAAGATAGTTAGCCATATATGAGATTTAGTTTATTATAAACGTTAATTTAGTTCTAAGTGGATCGAACTATATATATGTACACATATATGTCTATGATATAGAACTGTTTCAGTTTGATTTCTAGCTCTCTTCAACATTTTTTTTTAGTTCTTCATATATATATATGTATATCTATATATTATCTTAGCCAACATCTCATCACATGTTATCTTATAGTTTCTCTTCCTTTTGAAGATAGTTCTTAACTCCAATCATGAAGAGTACAAAACAAGAAATTTGTATAAATACTTTGGAAGTTCTACATAAAGTGGCAAATACATATTAAATATATTATTTCATATACATTTATCTTAAACTCTATTCTTAGTTACTCAATAAATCGTATTTCATTTTAATATCATTTCTCCAATACGTTTGCAAAGCGATGTAAATATTTATAAATGAACAGTTAAATAAAATATACATATTAAAGTTATTATAAATTGTGGTGAATATTATGAACAAAACGAAACAAGGTTTGTTTGAAAAATTTATATATATTTGTAAATATATTTAAATTTATGTGAGCATAAATTGTTGAAGGATTTACTAAGCAAATTATATATGTATATTTTTAAAATATGCGAAATAATTAATATATATGAAATTAATAGCATATAAATAAAATAAAGCATAATAAAATAATTCAAAAATAAATAATTAAAAATAATGCATAAATAAATATAAATATTTTAAAAATAAATAAATAAAATATTATAAAAATAATTCATAAATAAAAATAAAAATAAATAAAATAAAAATAAGAAAAATTATTCATAAATAAATATATAATATTAATTCATAAATAAATTAATAAAAAATAATTCATAAATAAGTAAATAAAAATAATTTACATATAAATAAATAACAAATAAATTAAAGCAATTCATAATTAAATAAATAAAAATACTAATATATTTTTATTTATTTATTTAATAATAAATAATTAATAATAAATACTAATTGAATGCATTTTTATTTATTTATTTATGAATTGTTTTAATTTATTTGTTATTTATTTACTTATAAATTATAATGAAATAAAAAATAAGTATAATACAAATGCTGGAGAAAAATAAATCAATTAAAGATAAAACTTAAATATTATTTAATGAATAATAATTTACTAATTTCACTATGCAGTTAGTAACTATAATAATGTTGTTATGCTAAATTCGTAATTAAACTAAGTTAATTTCGTATATTTTATGGAGAGTATTAATTGATTTAGAAATCAGAAATTCTGACAGCTTTGATTTCCAAGAACTTTACCTACTCCAACTCCTCTAACTTATCTTTCTCTTGTCAAATCCATATCAGTATTTCCTTTGTCAATCATAGAGCCATCTATCTTATCTGCTTATGCTTCTTACCATATTCACACAGCAATTTGTGTTTATCTGAAAATATCATTAAACAAGCCTATTAGCATATCTCACACATATGGAGCGGCTCTTAAATGGTTTCTACCATGACAAACTCACACATTTGGCCAGATGTCAGGCGCACACAGATGATAGAGAGAGACAGAGAGAGTGAGAACGATGAAGACCCGCAGGACAGGACTTGGTACGGAAGGCGTCATAAAAACCAGTCGACAAATGAGACAAAAGATAAGCCCAGCAGCGCATGCGCCATGGGACAGGCGCGGTGAGGGGGGTAGCCAGATGTGGGTATGATATAGACCAACTTAGAAAGAGGCCCTCAAAGAGACACGGCTCACTCATGAATGAAGCGGATGGGAAAACGGCGAGAACAATACGGCTGCTGCTGCTGCTGCTGCCAAGATGAGAAAACAACCCTCGAAATGCCAGGTCGACACGATCTGGCCCTTTAGACGGGTCACGTCGCGGTACGGTATGGTACGGTACGGCATGCTCTGCTACCTAACAGACCGAATGCAAAAAGTACTTTGGATATGCGCGGAAAATTGCCAAAAACTGGTTTCATTCAGCATCAGCTTATTGTGTGTTAGCCTTGGTCGAGAGCGCCGCTTAGGGGATGCTGCTGTGCGGGTTCAATGACCATGGCCAGCAGCAAGCAGCCAGCATCTAAGGGTACGGCATTGGTACAGCTCACAGGCAGCCTTTGAGTCAATCAAATTTTTGGTGTTGTCAGAGATTTACTGTACTTGGCAATAATTGAACGAAAGTTGAGAGCTAAATGAAGTCCGTTAAGGTATGAATATTACAAAGGGGAAGGCTTGACGTTTTGTATGAGTTTGGTATATATATGAAGAATATCTTGGAGCTGGACAGCTTTGATGTTTGTATATTATATAGATTTCATATATATTAGACTCAGGCTTATTATAAACAGAAATGAGTCAGTCAGCTTAAGTCTTAATCCTATTTTTCTCTATCATGCCGCTATCATTTTTGGCTATACCCATAGATCGCTCTTTATCTAATGTTGATATAGATGTAAATGTAGATAAAAGGCCAAAAACTACCTGCTTCAGCTTGCACGAACTACGTAAGACTATAGAGCTTCTAATTTTTATATTATTTCAACTTATATTAAAGATAATCACCGTATAACTGAGTTCCATTGAAAGATTTGTAGTATGATCAAGGAGTGAATATTGCAAGAGTAGCATTGCAATATAAATAGTAGATATTATTAATATATCCTGGTAATAGAGAAGGTGAAAATCTATAAGACAGTCCCATATTTGTTAATTGGCTAACATAACCTTTGCAATGTCAAAAATAAAAGTTTTAGTTTTCCTAAGACAACTCACCCAAGTGGAACTTGCACTTCCCAAAAATATTTACCAGTACTCCCTCGCATATATTCCACCTTAAACATACAAATATAATTATTTTTATTTTTCCTAACAAATGTGCACATATTCATTACGCTTTACCTAACAGCCCTCTATAAAATATATATTATCGGGCCACATAAAAGTATGAAAGCAAGTCATCTAGTATAATCTCAAGCTATCCTAAAACATTGTCAAAATTCAGTGAAGAAGTTGCTGAGCTCTGAGAGTGTTTTAAAATAACTTAGGATCATAAATGGAATCGCTTTACTTGCTTCCAGAGCTACGTGCTCAGGCCGTTGTTTCCCTAGCATCGTTTTGAACATCATCATCGTCTTTGGGCTTACTAATTTGATTCTTCTCCTGTGCCCTAGATTTCCTTTGAGCATTTTGATCTTCCACTTGCGTGCGCAGCGTTGAGCAGATGAGCTTACAGAATCGTCGCCCGAACTTTGTGTTCTGCAGCGTGCCATGTTTACTGGAAGAGCTGGGATAAACTGGATAGCTAGTCCTATATTTCTCAACCGATTTGCTCGTGATAAGCTCTGTTGCTGGCTGGCTATAAAAGGAGCAGAGCTGAGCATAGGATTTGCACTTCATATTCATGCTGCTCTTTTTCTCAGTTAATTCGGTTTTCTTGCTCTCTCTTTTACCATTTGTTTTGCAGCCTGCTTCGCAATCGCTTTCTTCTTCTTCTATCTTTTCCGGTTTTTTAGGCTTTTCCGGCACTTTGGGCTTTTCAGACTGTTTGGGCTTTTCCGACTTTTTGCGCTTTTTAGGCTTTTCAGGCACCTCAGGGGCCTCAGGCTTCTCAGGCACTTCAGGCTTCTCAGGAACTTTAGACTTCTTGGGTACTTTAGGCTTCTCAGGTATTTCAGGCTTTACAGGTACGTTAGGCTCGTCCTCAGCTGGAGAGTTGCAGTGATAATAATTGTTGTCTGATCTCGTTGGATTGATGAAGCCTCCACAAATCGAGCTTACGCCCAGCAAGCAACAATTCGCCGTGGCTCGTAATTGTGCGATTTCGGTATCGTCGGAGTATTCGTAGCACAAGTTGGGCTCACTCTTGAACTTGTACTTCACTCTCTTCAAGCAGCCCACTTGGCTGCGCTGCGACTTGAGGCAGGATTTCCTTGTGCATTTAATGGGCTCAACCGAGATCTGTTGAGTGTCCTGGTAGGTGTGGCAGGACTTGCAGGCTCTCATACTGGAAGTGTTCTTGGCACAAGTCCTAGACATATTCTGAACTACGTTACGCTCATTGAAGGAATTGCTGGGGCACAGCAGTCTAGAGCTCTGAAGGTTGGTTTGACCAGCCGAATCCTGAGCTCTAGCTTGCTGGCCCGATGGGTCCTTGCCTCCATTGCAGCACATGCATTTCTTCCCAACTGGATCAGCTGGAAGATGGCACGAACTTTGAGTGGAACGATTCGAGTTAGTTCGACTTTGCCTGCTGCCAGTCTCACTCTTCGATGCCTGCAAAAGAGAGCCTCGCGGCGATTCCTTAACCCCATGTCGCGATCTCTTAGACTCCAGTTGACGGTACGAGTTCCGTTTCTCCTGGGCGGTAAATTGTGGCAAGGTCACATGCTTTGTGCTGCTGGTAAAGGGACTTTGCATTGCGGAGCTCAGCGGACCACGCCGACTGACGCTCTGAGTCCCGTTGTTGAGCTTGTTCGGCCTTTGAGCACTGGAGTCCTGGCGACGTCTCTCCTTTTCCTTAACCGCTGGCTGGGCTCTCGAGTTGTTTAGACTGTGTCGCGATGATGCAGCGGACTTCTTAGACTTCGTCGAATTCTTTTCCTGATGGGCAGAAGTGTTGCGCAGCGAGTTCGTTTTGGAGCTCCGTTTGCTGGTCCTTTGGGGGTCACTCTGCTGTGAATTGCTAAAGCTGGAGGATTTGGAGGCCTTAGCAGATGATTTGCTTTCCCTATTCTTCTTATCCTTATCCTTTTTCTCTCGCTTCTTGGTTCGCTTCTTTTTCTTCTTCTTCTTCATCTCCATTGTTTCCAGCTCGTCATCGTCGCTCTCATCTTCGCTGTTGGCGTCGGGATCCCAGACCTCCGAGAGATAGCCTCGCTGGCGGGCCAACGCAGTGGCTTTCTCCCGGCACACGATGCACTGGCAGTCCCTCTCGTGCGCGTCCTCGTTCGAGGAGCAGGAGATGTCGTCGTCCTCCTCGCGTTGCCAGTACCGGCGCGACTCGTAGCTGCTGTCGGTCTCGGCGCAGAAGCACACATCCGCCACCTGGGCCAGGTCCACGAGTCGACTGCGCAGATCCCCAATGATCTGACGCTGCTTGCGGCGCACGTTGCCCAATCGCCGTGAGTCGCATCGCAGGTTGGGCAGCTCGTTGTCCTGCTGATTGGCATCGATGCCCTGGCAGATGACGCGCTCCAGCTCCCGCAGCAGGCACAGACGCTCCTGCCCGGAGGACGTGGTAATCTGCCGCAAGCGAAACTGTATCC